TTAAATTAATTGCGAGAACAAATTTTAGCAGTAAAAATGAACCTCGGGAAAGGATATTGAAATAATTTGTTCCCAAAACACATGAACTAAAACTGAGTAAATTCTACAAGGATGATCAACTAAACCTGATGAATTGTTCCTCTAAACTTTTACTTCGAAGACTATCTTCAGCTACAATGGTGGTATTACTATGGACGGTTTTCCCAGACATTCAAAGCCATTTTCAGATACTGAAATCTACTAGTGAAGTATTTGGCATCTTCTAAGCTGCCTCTATACACGAACTATTTAATTGATTTAGTTCTCTCTTTTGATTGAAGAGTTCAGCATCAAATGTTTCCTCTTGAATGATAATATCACAGAGTTCAAGATACACTCACCATTATAAGTAATGACCTTTCCAAAAAAAGAACCACATCCATCAAAATCCTTTTTCTCCCATTAAGGTTCTTCCTTTTTCACTGAACTTCCACTTCACCTCAGTAACCTCGTGCTTATCTTTGCTCAAACCTGAAACTTCTGAAATACCCATTACTCCCCTTTGTCTCAATGGTTTACAGCTGTGGTTTAAAAAACGGATCGGTGCCCCAGATCGGGCACCTCAAAATCCCATCCGGATCGGCGAATCGGTGTTTTGGATCGAGAATCGGCCGAATCGGTTGGATTCGACCTTTAAAAAATAGAAAAAAATATTAAAAATCATTACAAATGTTGTTTTTTAGGAATCCAATACGAAATAGGGGTACTACATTAATAACTTCCATTTTTTTTGCATCAATATGCGAATATTGAGATGTTCTTTCCCTATATGAACTACTGATAACCATTAAATTTGCATCACACAAAAGAAGAAACATAGAATTATCATTGATGAAGTATATAATCATATATGGACTACAATAAAGCATATAATTCGTAAAATACGACCTAATACCAAAATAAAAATCGTTGTTGTTCATCATCTTGGTCACCCTTGTGCCATTGATTGAATTCGCGTGACAATTCATTAACTCAATCTAGGAACAAATCATCTAAATTAGTGGGCACCTGAGATTAATTCACAGTTTTAATCAACAAATTGTTTTAAATTTGCATTAATAATTGACAATAAAGTTGAACAATACAAGTTATTTTCACATGATAATTATAAATTGAATTGAATATAATTCACAATGTTATGATATTAAAAATATTATGTAATGAAATTGAAATTGTTGTTTATATTTTATAATTATTTTACTATACATATAAGAACAAATCTAAAATGTCTTATAATATCATCAAATTTAAAAAATCTTATTTACAACTATAAGAAAAATAATATATTACATAATTTATAATATAAATAAGTAAATAAATAAAATACAAGATTTGGTTATCAATATATAACTATTAATTATAATATTATAGTAAAAGTGATTAAAAAGTTATTAGAAAAGGCTTCCATATCATATGAATAAAATTAAAAATCAAACCACCAATAAATTCTAATGTAATTATATTAAAAATTTCAAAATAGCTTTACCCAAAAAAATGAAAAATAAAGATGTCCAAATTCAAAAAAAAATCCCATCGGCAATATGCACAATAGCTACAAAAAAATAAAAATAAAAATAAAATATTGTAATAAAACACATCAAAAAAACTATTTTACTAATAAACAACAAAAAACATTTATATGGCCATTTTTTAATTTGACACACTAAATTAATGAGTGCTATTAATTTATTTTTTAATTTTATATGGCCGTTTATTAGTGCTATTAATTTGACACGCTAAATTAAAACACTACACATGTGGACAATGGCTTGCAATAGTTAATGGCTTGGAAAAACTATATGGCCGTTTATTAGGTAATGGCTTGTGTGAAGATGGCTTGCATGCTGTTGAAGGCAAGTGGGAATTGTCCCACATCGGAAATATCAAGGGACTTCCAAGTCTATAAAAGATGTGAGGATGAGCTCTTCAACAGCGTACGAGCGAAAGGGACATGGGCACGTGATTGCACGTGATTGTGGTGCTGATGTCCAAGAATGTGAAAAATTACCTTCATTTTTAAGACAAATATCCCAATTACCCTTGGAAACGTCATACATGCCGATACATGACGTCACCATCCGATTCTATACAATGATTCGGCCGTTTCACTATAGAGAATCGCCGATTCTCTTCTAGAAGCAGGCGATACACTGTTTTTACAGGGAATCGACACGGGAAGACCGATTCCCTTGTCAACTCGCCTGAGTCCGTGTGGACTCGATGATTTTTAAATCACTGGTTTACAGTTTTACTGTTATCTGATTCCATGAATGTTATAAGTCAATGAGAATTGTAACTGCACCCTTCCTAGTAAAGCATGGACGAAAGAAAAGGCAATGAATGTTAATTTCTTTATGAAGCTTCAAACTAGATGTGCACTTAACAAACTATTTTTTTACTGGAATCCCATACACTTGATCAATGTATTTTCCATGAATCAAGAAAAATTTAAATCTTAGAACCAATTTTTATTTTAAAAAAAACATCTTTGATGAAATAGAGAAACCATAAACAAAACTAGGGTAAATACAACGCACGGATATTAGGTCAACAGAGAAATCTGATAACACAGAATGAACCTGCGACTCTATGAATTCCTAATTGGTTTTCCCGTGTTGTTACTTCCATCAAGTACAAGGGTCATCTATTTGGAAAGAGTGCACACCTGGTCATTACCAAAGCAAAGGGAAAGGAATTTCATCTTCAAAGTTCGCCAAATTTCAGAAGGTATGTACTGTGCCCAGTGGAGCGTTTGTGAGAATCGAAGGTTTCATGGCAAATTGCTATCAGATCGCAGGTCCTGCAATGAGGTCTGTGTGTGTGCGTGCAAGAGAGAGAGAGAGAGAGAACCTGATGAGAAGGTTGCAGGCTAGGGCTGTTGCTGGCAGGGCCGCTAGGGTGAGTCGACGAGAGAGAGAGGGGCCCGGTGTGAGAGAGAGAGAGAAGGCCCTGAGAGCTAGAGAGAGAAACACTCTACGCTAGAGAGAGAGAGGTGAGGGCGGTACGAGAGGGAGAGAAAGAGAAAGAGAGAAGCGGGGGGTACTTCGTCGAGATTTGAGAAGAAGTATGATTAGTGTCAAAAAGAGCCATCTGCTTGAAAAAGAAGCGAGTGGAATATCATAAGGTAGCGTTTGATAACTTGAGCCATCTGCTTGAAAAAGAAACAAGTGGAATATCATAAGGTAGCATTTGATAACTTTCACTGCAATGTCCTGGAAATCACCCCTGCTGACTTTCCTAGATTCTGGGATGCAGTTGAAAATTGATAGGGTGAAAGCTAAAACCCTGTTTGATAAATTGTGTTGTTGGTAATTTCACCTGTTTGGTGATGGGAAAGCTGGAAACTGACTGTAATACTGTTTATTATATATTTCATTGATATGATGTGCGAGTGCAGTTTTTTAAAAATATTTTGTAATTAAATAAGGTTTCTTCCATTCATCCAACATATTACCAAACGGCGAAAAATCCAGGTCTATTTTTTGAATAATAATACTAAATAAAAAAAAAAGCCAGGTCTATTGACATACAATTCCTAAGAATGCATTGGAAATCAAATCCTAGTCCACAAGAATCACTTCAAACCCAAGGCAACAAAACAATGGCCAATACACAATCCCGTGGTGTAAATAAGGAACTATATAAAATTAATCAGAGGAACATTAAGAAGAATAGAACATTAATCAATGGAAGAAAGACACATAAGAAACTGCGCTTTCCACAAGAAAAAAAAAAAATCAGATCATCACATAGTGATTCAAATGAACATTGATCTACTACTGCTATTACTTCAAAAGAAGATAAATAATAACTAAACATCGATTCTTTATTAGATGTTGAACCAAACATAAACAAAATAAATAATAAAATCAAAATCTCAACCAGATGGAACCATTAGGGTCAGAATAAGAAAAAAAAGAAGAAGCAAGAGTAATCAGTTTATGATTGCTTTACCAGAATAGAGATAGAGAGTAATGCTTACTGTAAGGAAACAAAAAGAGCAAAGAGATGCAAAGCTCTGCATAAATCCATGGCAGACTTATAAAAGATAAGAGAAAAGCATTCTTATCAGAACTACTCAAACAGATAAAAGAGAAGGAAATAAATTTTCAAGAAAGAAATTTTTTGGATCAGATGCATTACACAACAGACAGTGCCAAGGAAGAACAACTTTCTATAACATCCAGCTATAACATTAGAGACAATGCATACAAACACCCTGATTTCAAACAGAACAAAAACATAACTTAAAATAATAAAGCCACTCTTAACATGCCATAAAAATGCACAGAAAACAACTCAGGTACCAGTTCCAAGTGAAGAACATGCCTAAAACTATTGAAAATCAAAATTAAAAAGAATGGATGTAACAAAAAACAAATAAAAAACCGAGGATTAAAGAACAAAATAAGCAAAAAAGGCTAATAAATTAATACTTCCATCCAGTTGAAATATATGCCAGCATCAGATTGATAAATCAACCAATAAATAAGTATAGATTCTTTTTGAATATGTATCAATAAATAAATATAATCCCAATCTAATGTAAAAATGACTCCAATAAAACCAGATCAACAAAGACCCTTGATCAACCACCAACGAACATCAAAACAATAAAATTAATAAGAAATATATGATAATCACAATCAGACCAATAAGAAATACATGATAATCACAATCAGATGGAATCAAAAGGACCATCTCCATGCGAGAAAGAGCTTAGAGACTGAGAATCTACCAAACACACCAGTAAACCCTAATTTCCTAAAGCCCTAATTTTATCAATAATCGTATATAGAATTGCAGCAAAAATAAAGGCTTCTAATTTGGGGTTTATCAGTAAGGATAACAACAAAAAGAAATTTCAAACTCACTGATTCGGGGCTTTCCTTTGAGTGAACTGGAATTTATCACCAAAAGGTTTATCATCATAATAAACAGTAAAAAAAATAACAACTCACATCTCTTCAAGCTCTGTTATAAATCTCTTCAAGCTCTAGGATAATGGCGATGGAGTGAAGGCGGTGTGGGCGACTTTCTCTTCTTTGACCTAGGGTTTTCACAGGCTTCACCGGCTTTCTCTTCCTCGAGGGTTGCTCACATAGAGAGAACAAAGGGAGGCTCGAAGAGGGGGAAGCTCAGAGCAGGGAGCCTTACACAAGTTTTCAGGAGTGAAAGCGGGCCAACTTATTTTTGGGTGAGTAGGAAGTAAAAAGGAGAAAAACGGTGTTCCGACTATTTGTTTTTGGTTTATCAAACACGCTCAACACACCTTGCATGGAAACGTTTGATACTCTCCCCGCTTTACACCCATTTCACGGTTATCGCACGCTGCCCAGGAAATTTATTAAGAATAATAAAAAAATATGATTTATATTGTATTTATTTATGAGAAATGATTATATAGGACCCTCTTTATGCATGTGTAGGACCTCAAAAGATGATCATTAAATTTAGTACGGATCTATAAAAAAGTTAAATCTAACATTCATGTCACCACTTTTTTAGAAATCCGTGTTACCTTTAATGGTGATCATTTGGATCCTACAAACATGGGTAGGGGAGGGTCTTATAGAATCATTACTCTTATTTTATTTAGAAAAATTATGTAAATATTTGTTATATTTCCTGATATTATGAAAAAACCTAAAACTTTCCGTTATTGCTCAGATGTCTATTTTTTCAATTTCATAATATTTTCTTTTAAAAAAAAATATGAAACTTATCATTTTCTATTTTTGAAAAACCAATTTTTTTTTTTATATATTGCTTTTCAAAAACTGAAATTTTTTAAAATTTGGTTTTTGAAAAACTGAATTTTATTGTTTGTAACTCGACATGTTTA